GCTGCTTACAGAGCTGTCTTTTGTTTTCGTATATGAACGCTATAAAAGCGGTTCTTATTCAAATTTCGTTACCAAACAAGTCACGCTATTCCCCCATTTCGCAAAACGCAAACAATGTCCAGCGTTTCGAATCACACATTCTACCTTAATCATTGGAAACACACCTATGGGGTTGGGGTTTACACCTTATCTGCAGACATATTATACAATACACATTGACGACAACTGATATCTTCGCCCGGTTGTTGTGGTTCTGTTGCTTATGTTTGTTTTTCAGCCATGAGCCGCGCAAGTTTTTGAGCTGCCAGAACTAACAAATGCGATAACTTTAAGATGGGTGGAAGAAGTGGAGGAACGCTAAAAGTAAACAAACTTAAGGAATTGGTAAAAGTTGCCAGCAATGTGCCACAACAAATTTTGCGATGAATTCTTTTTTAATCAAACATTTAAAACTTTTTAATAAGTGTTCAACTCCAAATAAAATAGAATAGCAAACGTAAACATAAACTTTGGCCTGTAGAACGTTTTTAAGTGCTTCAGGTCGGTACACCATGCCCAACCTCGAACGGTTGCTTTTAGGTGACTGGGGTCTATAGCTACACTTGACCATAAATTGTTGGTTTTTATTTTCGTTAATGATTTAAGAGAATATATATGATATTAAAATTCGACTTAGAAATTATTTTAATAATTTAAAGTCAAAAATAAATAACTGGAAATAATTCCGTTTAAGTCTTATTAACCACATTTTTTATAGAAAAACTTCGGAAATCTAAAAATAAAAGATTCCTGATTATAGAAAGCTTTTATCGTCCTTTAGACCATCTAACCTTACGGCTAAAATTAACTAACTATAGTTAGCATATAAGCTTGAATTACATTTATGCATTTAGCTTTGTAAATCCTTTTCTGTCAGAAAATTTGAAATGTTTCTCATTTTAGATCAGTTTTTCTCTGTACATTGGTCTCAGGAGAACTTATTTTTCCATGCTTAAGGACCACTAACTTTATTTATTATTTTACGGCTAAACGAAAAACAGAAATTTAACTTTATAGACGGAAACGTGAGGGGTTTACGGGTTTGTTTTGCAAAACGAACCAAGATGGAAACAATGGCTAAAAACAACCGTTGAAATATTAATGGTCAGCGTGAACTTTAGCTTGAATTGCTATGGTGGTAAGTGGGTGGAAAATGGTAAGCTTGGTGGTGGCCTAGGAAAATTGCGTGCTGAGCCAAATTTGCAGCTGTCAACTGCAGAAACTGCAGTAAATAAACCGCAAGGCACAACATGCATTGGGAAAAGTAGTGGAAAACGAAATACCCAGCTGACAAGAGTTTTATAGTGCCTGGTTTTTCCGACTAACAGATGAAACATTTTCCTTTTCAGACGCCGGCAACTTTGACTTTCCTGCGGTGTGAATAAACCTTGGTTAACAAAAGCCAAGACAACGCAAAAATGTTGCAATAGTTCAAGTTTTTCATGTCGTTGCATATTTTTCAACCCCCACCCCAAAAACAACAACAAAGTAAGAGGCTGCATTTGTGTAAAAGTGTGTGTTCGTTTAGTTGTGTGTGTGTTAAAGGTTTAAATATGTGTGCGTGAGCTTACCTGTTCATTGTGCGGGGAGCGTATTTAAAATTGCAGCACAAACCACTTTAATGAAAACGTCGACTGTGAAAAACAACACAACAAATAAGACAACAACAAAGATCAGTTGGCTTGCAAAAAGCTTTTTACAGTTGTAGGGTCTTATGGCTGAGTGAGTGCGAAAAAGAGAGGCGGTTACACGGGAAGAAAATTAGCTCAAATTAATGTTTTTAAGTTTTGTAAATCACTTGCATAACAAAAAAGATTTTTGGTTGTAAATCCGATTTTAGTGTCAAAAATTCAAGTTCAAATCCTACCACATTCCATTATATTTTTATATATTTTAATCTTGATAAACTTACTTTTTACTTTTTATTTACAAATATAAATAGAACATTAAATACGAGTAATTTTTTAATTTAACGAATATAATTTTGACATTGAAATAACCCATTGCAATATTGTAAACTATGAAATAGCCATTTTTTCCTGTATGGATTTTCTGTGTACATAATTATGTTGCAGCAAAGGGGGGCTTAAAGAGAAGTAGAAGGCGCATCAACAGGGAGACAGTTTGATAGACACGTGAGTAAATTGCTCTCACATTCTCCGTCCCTCTTTGACGCAAAAGCAAAAGTTCACTTTCGCTGCCCCTCTCTTTCTTTTCCTTTAGTAATTGTTGTTGCGGCTCCCACAAAGTTGGACATGCAATCCAATTACCGTTAGAGCCCAACTGTCTCCCAGCAAATTGCAGTTTTTACTAGCACGTAATATTTAATTAACATTGCAAATAAACATACGAATTTCTCTTTACCCCGAGGCTTTTTACTGTCTTTTAAATACTGTTTGGGGTTTTACGTTTCACGTTTCTTTTTTAAACGAAAGCGACGCCTTTTAGTTTTTTGACACTTCTTAAGCAGCTCACGCACACACTCTTATTTTGGCCCTCTCTGTTTTTTGGCTCTCTCTTCTGCGCACAGGTAACACGGTTTTCTCCCTCTCTCTCCCACACTCACACATTGCCGCCACAAACAGGTAGCAGCGTAAATGTACCTTCACACACGCAGACGCAACAAGCGAAGCAGAAACAAAACTCGAAGAGACGCGTTTTTTCACTTGCACAATTTTCATTAATTTACCAGTAATCCGGTAATCTTATTTGGCACTTTTAAAGAAAAATAGATATCAACTCGACGTTGATTATGGAATTATTCACCAATTGGAACGCTTTTCAAAACAGTAACGATCGAATGGGGATTTCGTATTCCCGACGCCGACGCGCAGTGGAGTGCGCTCTCCGCTCAAAAGACGATCGTTGACTGAGAAAATGGAAGTTGGTTGGTTGGTTGTTGCGGCTGCGATCGTGGGGAACAACCGTTGTTGTATGCCGGCGTCGCAGTCGACGTCGGCGCTGGCTTTGGCGTTGGCGTAGGCTGTTAATGGTCAGTTAATCGCAGTGATGCCAAGAAAATTCCTAGCGGTAGGAAATTTAAAACTACTAGCGAAAGTTAGTCAATCTTCAAAATATATTCATTTATCTCTAATAAATGTTTTAATTTTGTATTATATTCTCGGAAAACTATGGTCGACATTTTTTAACAGTAGCTGCTTTTATTAATTTAATTTTTTTATCGTTGCCAAATGTTTAGCTTTTTTTTTTGTTTTTATTTATCGCCAAATATTAATATTAAGACGCTACTTTCACACAAGCCTTAATTGATCAAGATTTGACGTTTAGAAAGCCAAACTGGCAGTTCTGGAAATTCGTCACTCCCTGTGGCGTTGCAACTTGGAAGCTCCTCTGCTGGGGGCAGCGAAAAAGATAAAGCGCGATAGTGAGTGGGAGAGAAAATATCACTCTCTCAGCAAGTCTATTTTTTGCTATCGCAGCAAAAGCCATATCCCTTGCCTCGGAGGCTGCGAGAGGAAACTCGGCTTTATTAATTTATTTATCGCAAGAAATTTCTCAGAGAAGTCGATCTAATTACACAGGAAAAAAAGCGTCAGTTTTGCATTGAATTGTTCAATTTAGAAGTTGAGAATTTTTATTTGATTTTTAATACTGAACAGTAAATGGATTTAAAAATTAAGTTATGGTCAACGCTCATGTTAACTTAAATTTACTTAATATATACAAAACATAAAAATGTATTTCAATACTTTTTTAATGTAATATTTATCTCCCTAGTTTACTGAGTTGCACTAATCGTAAGCTGGTTCCGGTCTTTCCATTTCCCTTTTACTTCGATAGGCTTTAAAGTGCATTTCCGAAGTTTGTTAAAAGGAAGTCGCTTGAGTATTTTCCACAACTTTTGGTTTTACTCTAGTAACTATTTCGACCGATTGAACCCTCTTAGCACAAAGTCAAAAGTTTTCACCTTAAGCTTGCTGAGTATTTTAAGGCCTTTAAAGTTTGTTTACGTCGTCGGCCATGCAAAATATTTCCTCTTTAACAAGAGTTTGTGTAGATTCTCTAGTTCGTAGTATTAATTCGATTTTCTGATTTATGCGCCGCTCTCGGATTTCCAATCTTTTAGACTTTGAGCTTTGAGCACTTGGCCCAAGTGGCAATCGATTTAATACCGCGCCTGCCCGGCTTTTCATCCGGAAAACTCAAGTACGCATTTGAATTTCAATCAGCCGACTGCAGCGAAATGAATAAGCCACCGATGACTAGAACGATGAGCTCTTTCCGTCCACTTCCACTTTCCTTTCTGACCAGAAAGTTCACTTGCCAACTCGACAGTGATACGAAAGGTACAGTTCTCGGCCTTTTCTATCTTATGTCAGCTTAAAATGCTACCTTGATGAGGTTAAAACACCAAAGTTTTCTCAGTGTTTTTGAAAATATATTATTTTACTCATATAAAGGGTAATCCCTGTTCTGTAATTTAATATGTAAAATAAATTAAATCACACTTTTATAAATAATATATATGTATGTACATTTTATATTCCATATTGAAAAACTTTGATATGTACCTAATCTGCTATAACTGACCACTTGTTTTATTATTATCCAATTTTTGTATGAGTTATCATATTATCCACATACTTTTTTTTTGTAGTAATCAACTACATTTCTGAACAATTTTAGTTTAGTTTACCATTGTTCATCCATTTATTGCAAATGGCTTTGTCTTTGATATGTTCAAAAACAAAATAAAATTAATAAAATAAAGTAAAATAAATTTAAAAAATAAATAAAAATGATAACGAAATAAATGTTTTTTAAATTGCATTAAAATGTATTGATAGCAGTATTAAACAACTTCAATAGTTTCGCAAGATTGCCTGTGTAAAATACACAAAAGGAAGATAGATATTTCCCAGCATCCATCGATATGACACGCACCGCCCGGCAAAAATAAATAAAAATTGTGGATTCCGCATCCGTTTTTCCGCACTCACCGGTTATGATTCTGGTCAGCTTGGAGCGTCGCGTGGAGGAGGGGCTGAGCATGCTCTCGCGCCGGCTGCTGCTGGCACTGCTGCCCCCGTTGCCACCTGCCGCCCCATGGTGACCTGAGCCCGGTCCACCCGCTGATCCGGATCCGGCTGCCGAGTCACCGTAATTGACATTCAGCTGGGCCTGTGCCTGTGACCCAAAGGAGCTGGACGTTGAGGTGGAGTACAGGCTGCTGGCCGAAGGACGTTTGCTGAACGGAGAGGGGGCACCTCCTCCTCCGCCTCCGCATCCGGAGGAGCCACCTGGCGCCGTGACGGCCAGTGAAGGGCGTGGCGAATCGCTAAACACAATCTCGGCAAAGGAGTCGATGCTGGCCGAGCGCTGAAGAGCACTGCTGTCCTTACGCCTGCAAAAAGGAAACACATAAACCAAAGTCATGAAACACGATGAGCAACTCAATGGGTTGTGGTGGGGATTCCTTCGGAGGGGAGCTGGGGGATCTCTTGTAATAAGTGCAAACTTGCAGAGTATCGTAATTACTTCACGCTGTCTGACATTTTAATGAGCTGCCCGCAGACCGTTAAGTGCCGCTGCGGTCACTGGCCGGCCTAGTTGCCATAATGTGACCGTTTTTTATGGCCACGCCAAGAGGAGAAAGCCGCTCGCCGGGGCAGCGGCACAAGTGTCGCCACTGCTGTGCAGTTACACTGATCAAAAATATTATAATTCTTCAACTAAAGTCACTTCATAGGTTTTAAGTATTGCATTTCCATGTTTTGGATACTCTTACAAATCGATTAAAACGTTTAATTAACAAGAATTAATAAGTGTAAAAAAAGTCTATATAAATATGAACCAATTTTGAAAAATAGATTTTTCATATCTTTATTATCGGCTTAAGTAATGATGTTAATACACCTTTTTGTAAAAGATTGTACATTAAAAATTGATCTTCAATTTGGTAAACATTTTGTTTATTATTGTTATTATTAAAATATTGTTTATTATTCGAATGTTTCTGCTAGTGCAGGCACAGTAGCCGACAGCTGGCGCTAATGTGTTACTGTGGGTAATGCTGACAAAGTTGACGCATGTATAAAGCTGGTCGAGCGTATTTCTTCATTCAAGTCAAACACTTTTCTGCGCTTTTTCCGCAATTTTCTTTGCGTTTGGTTGGCACGCTTTTGCCCATGACTGGCCAAGTTTATGGCCTGCAAATGGAGGTGAGTGATGTGGCTGATGACGGCCTAGTAATGGATTAATTTGCCGTCTGCTTGGGAACCGGGATGGGCTGGCAATTCATGATTTGACTGCACAGTGAACTTTAGTTTTTGAACTTTGTTTCTCTTTTGCTGCAGCATATTTTGCTGTGTTTACACCGCCCTGAATTAATTTGCAAGCCGCACACAAATTGAGTTGCCCCTGCTGGCGCACTTTTGCTCATTTACAGCATTTGCATAATCAGAGTCAAGTTGGAAAACTCGACCACATTAAGCACGCCCCAACCTTGAGCCAACTTTCTCTATGCCAGCGACCGGCAACCAATTTGTCCTCCAATGAAAGCTCATATATTAATACGAGTTTTGGATGTGTGTCTGTACAACATGTCGTATGCGCAACATTTTCAATTAAGACCGCAAAAGCTGTCAGTGCAATCTCAAAGCCCTCGTAAAGTGAAATCGAAAGATGGTAAAGTGATGTTGGGGGACCAAGAGTTCATCCTTGTAGATGCGAGTACATATGTGCATTTGTTCACACGCTAATTCTGTTAATACGAAACCATAATAAACCCTGAGTCGCTCTTTTCGATCTCTGCCTTTTACTTGGCCCCCCCTACCCAAGAGACAATTAAGTGAGTTTGCAATTAAACACATTCATAATTTACCAACAGCTAAATACGCTTAATCAACGCAAATTCAATCAAATTACGACGCTTTTAAGCAACAAACGAAGTGTTTCTCCTACCCCAAGTGCGAAACCCTTTGCCCATTAAACAGCCATTTCCCCTTGTACACTGCGGGAAATGTGAAGGGCATTTTTAAAAGTTAAGTAACATCTCGTGGATATTCAGGAAATATTTGTTTTGCTTTATAAATCTACTTCAAATAAACAAAGATTATTGTTTTGATACTTGTATGTAAAATTTACCTTTTCATTAAACAGAAAATACATTATGATTCTTATCACTAACATAAAAAATACACAACTAGTTTTAATTGCAGTTTTTTGCACTGATTTTTCCCCGAGTGTACATTCACATCCAATAGTAAACTGAGGACCAAAAACTTGTACTCGTCAATGTCTTTGATAGCTGATGGCTGGGGCTGAGTGGGGCATGATTGGGGTTGGGCTTGTGTTTTCCTGGGGGTGGAAAAACTTATAAGAAACCCCCAAGTCACAGACACATTTCACGGCAGGCGACAGGCGGCAAAGTAGACCCTAGTTAGCTCTACTTGACTTGCTGCTGTGGCGTGTTGCCCTTGCTAGTTGTCAGTCTGCTCGTAGGGGGAATGCGATGCAGATGAGAAATGACAGGCGACCATATGCCTTGTGTTCTCTGTACTGTGCGACAAACCACCATAAGACTGCAGCGTGTTTGATAACAAACCTCAAAGTGTAGCTTCTCCTAGGAGCTGTCGATAGTAATGATTGTTATTAACTTATGCATGCATGCCGGTACCAAGTGGTGGCAATAAGTCAAGGGCTGTGTCAAGCTAGCTCTCCTTGCGTTGAGAAATCAACAACACTGCCAAGCATTTGACTTCACAAGGTCGCATATATTTTCCAGGTTAACAAAGCGACCTGGAAAATAATTTTTGCTTTTTTAATCACATCACAATTAGCTTCAAAAGTTTTTAACTATTATCAAAATATGGTGTTATTATGTTTCCAAACATTTTTAAAAATGTCTCAGTAACGTAAACGTTTTTTTTATGAATTTAATGAGTTAAAATACCTCCTCTTATTAAATTCCCTTTTTTTAGAAAACTTATGGGACAACATTTGTGTTTCTTTCAGGTATTTTTTTCGTTTCTGGTTTCTCCGTAATTTGGGCTCTTTATTTACACTTTACACATGGCTCCTTCCATTAGAGTTTATCTACAAGCAATGTGTTAAGAACAGGTGACACATTTTGAGAAAAGAATTCTTGCCTGCAAAAGTAGCTTGAAAATCTATAGAAATTTTCGGCATTTCCCCGGAAAATCCCTTTAAGCTTTCAAGGTGACTTCCAGGGCGGCGGGTGAAAACTGTCAACCAAGTGTGTGAAGCTCTCCTAATAGGAGGTGGCTGGCAGTTGATTCAGATGTGGGTTGGCAGCCTCAAAACAATTGACTGGGACATGGCTTAATGTCGCCTGCACAGTAATTGGATGTGAGTGAAAAGTGCATTGGGACATGGTCATGGAAGTTAGTTAACTTTGGATCGATACCCTTTCGGACTGCGTGTGTATTTTGGGCTGGTCAAATGAGTGAACCATTAGGCCAAATGACTGCCGTACAACTCCAACCAGTCCACACTTTCAGGGTCACATCTGGCGAATTTTGTCTGTTGTCTGTCGCTCATCATCAGAGCGGGGTTTCCACTCGCACTTTCCGACCTTTTATGCGGATCATACACACTCGCACACACACACACACACACACAGTTTCCCCGCTTAAAAGAAACGAAGGGAAACTGAAAATAAATCAGGAACAGAATGGCGGCCGTGCCACATAAATTGATGTTGACATCAGCAAGTCGGCGGCTTTGACGAGGCTTTTAGCTAAACTTTTTTTTCTGCTTTGTTTATTCCACGAAGCCGCATGCAATTTATAAAATTTTACACTACATAACCTGCCGCCTCCGCCGCCCACGTAACACAGCTAATGAGTTTTGTCATTGTATTTGTTTTCGCATCTGTGTGGGTGGCTTCTTGGTGTGCATGGCGCACATGACGTATGCGCAATTTCAGTTATGGTTCGTTTACTCGAACTTCCAGTGGCATCTTGTTGTCCCAGCTAGTTTAGTGGCTCATTCTGCCACAGGAGCAGCGGCGACAAGACGCACAAAACTTTATCCACAACATCAGACTGGCAGTGCGGTGGCAGGACACGATTTTATTGGCTTCGCTTCGCGTCCTTTCCATCTTTTTGTACCTCGTACTCGATGGGTATACAAAATGTAATGTATTTTTTTTTTAGGTATCAGATATATTATTATTCTGTAAAACAATCAGCTACATTAAATAATATAAATGATGCATTGATTAATTAACACAAACAAATCAGGCGATAATTATTTGTAAAATGAAGTTTTTTTTTAAAGCAATATCCATTACAATTGAATTTTACGCGGCCAGAGTGTATAAATAGCATTAAAAATACGTGTTAAGCTTGAAACAGTGATTTGTTATTGCAAAATCTATTTTTATAAAAAAGTAATAAAATGTCTACCTTAAGCCCTATGTAATTGTTAATACAACTGTCCCTCATTTTAATACGTCCGTAAAATCATTATTGTTATTAATAAAAATGGATTGTTTTGTTTTTTGGTAAAATTTTAATATCCGAAGAATTAGCCAAAAAAAATTGCAAAACTCTCCTGCTGGTGAACTTTTGAATCAAAAATTATTGATTGTATTTTGCCAAAGCTCTTACCACCTTTCGTTATCGTTAAGCAAGTATCTTTTGGTCGACTACCACCTTCTCTTCTCCTCACTTTCTTAAAATTCTGAAGGTTTGTGAGGTTCTCCTCCATCTTTGTCTTTGGCTGTTGGCTCATGAATAATGCATTCACAATTAAGCCAGTGAGGACTGAAAAAACCCCAACTAAGACCCTAACTGGGGAGTTTCTTGGCCCACTCCCTACTCGAACCCCCACTCACTCCATTCTGGCTGAGCTTTGCAGTTATTATTATGCGGATTGCTGGCTTCTACTCTTGCCATTTACGTTGTTTTACTTGCGTACAAGCTCGTTGGCTCTAAATTTAGCAACGTAATGCAATACAAACAGAACAACAACGATGGCCGTAACCCGTCCCAAAAGCGGACTCCTTTGTTTCAGTTTTCGGTTTTTTTTTTGCATTTTAAAATATCAAAGTTTAAGCACATAAAACAGTGCCATGGGTAGTGACGTTGTTGCGCCAGTATAACGAATACCGAATACAGAATACAGTGTTCAGTGACTAGTGTCCTGCTGTCAGACAGAGAAAGCGAGACCAGAGCGTTGCAATCAGTGTTCGGGGGACGGCTCTTCTGTACCTCCTGCGGCTTGTTTGCCAAAATGATTTTACACTCTTGACCATGGTCAACGGCAAGTGGTCCATTGTGATGTGAAGAGGAGAGTTCAAGGCATAGTCATTCCGCTCGTAAATTGCTTAATCCCGTCAGGGACATGTGATATTGGCCAGTCCGGGCTTGGCTCGTAAAAATGAAGAGCAACCATTTCCCCACCACTTTAAGTCGATAAATGCGATTACATAATTAATCAGGACTAGTTTGATTCACCCACAAATCCGTTGAAGCATGTGAATTTGAAATTAGCCAGAGAGCTTAAATTAGAAAAACTAATTTAACATGTATCCCTTCTCAATTATTCAACCAAAAACAGATTGAACCACAATTAAATATCGGGTAATACATTTGTTTTACTCATTTTCTGCGGTTTATATAGGAAAACAAATATTTATTATATTTAAACGCGGAATATTTTGTTATTTACTAAGGTATACTAAACAAACTGTCAGTATTGCTCGCAATGTACTTTGGGCCTTCAGGGGCTAAAACATCTATAAAATAGTTTCACTTCGTATTGTTAAATTTCATCTGCCTGGCAAATGAAATAATAAGAGGCGTAGTGTGTATAAATGCTCATTTTGCCGTCCGCCATATAAACGTATCGGTAATCCTTTTCAGAGTGAAAGACGGGTTGTCCCAATCTCCATTTCAAAAACTGCGCTGGCTTGCCAGATGCCATAGATACGAAAATGTCAGATTTGCCGCGATTGTTTATGCCCAGCCAGTATGGTTCATTCTTATATTTTTCACTGATGCCGTCAAACTCCTCTTGGTTTTGAAAGGATGCGAGATTGCCACCCATTTCACGACAAGTGCTTGCAGCATCGGTCCAATTTTTCTCTTCCTTCACGATTCGGAAGTATCTCGAGCCAAACTTTTCAAAATAAGGGGGTATGATTTTTACCCAAGTCACTTCCTTTGCTTCCATTGCAGTCTCAATATTATTAAGTGTTTCCTGTACAGCTTGTAGCTGATTTTTCATCTCTGTCTGATGAATCTCAATTTTTTCGATCCTATTTTGCGTGTTATTTAGTATTTTGTCTAGATTGTCTTGTGTATCGTTCATTTTGGCAACCATTGCAATCCACAGTTGAACAAGCTTGGCATTGGGCTCAATCATCGAAAGCAACATGTTAAGGCAGTAGGCCCCGCATTGATTTCTGGGGTCCTCAAGTAGGCACATGGAAGTCGTGCCATCTTCCAATTCCACCGCAACACACAGATTCCATAATAAAAAAGCGCATACAAAATATTCTATAGACTTAAGCATCTTGAAGCGTGAGCAACCGCTAAAGAGGAAAGCTTTTAATGAACTAATTTCACATTCTGTATTTTCTTTGCTGGTTGTCGAAAGGCCATTGACGAGCATTTTCACATGCTCTTGAAACAGGCTTTCATCATCAAAAAGAAAAATTGCCGTCTTTAATCGACAGATATATAATTTTTTTTTAAGATAACATTTTTTTATATTTTAATCTATATGAAGATCATTAGAGAGTTTTAAGTTATTTTTAATAAGTTTTAAATGTGCAGAGTACTTTATAATCGGATTTTTTTCCAATTTTTGTTGTCTTTTTGCTTTGCTTTGTTATTATTTTTGAGAAGTCGTTATACACCGGATATTATGTCATGGTTTTTTTTGACTCGAATAGTTATGATAAAGAAATGTAGATAGAGAAATTGACTCGGCTCTTAGTTGAGATCTCGCCAACTTGAACTTGATATTTTAGAAAAGTTGGGATCTTTTTAATAAGTATTGTACTTCCTTTAAAAGAAGTGCTTTCTGCCACTGACAGTAATTTTAATTATTGAAAACGGTTTAATTAATTACCTTTTGTGGGAAAGTTTATGATTAAAACGACTTGCTTGGATTATTACTTAATTGGTTTCCCCAGGCTTTACTAATGGTCTTGCCTTCAGGGTGGCAAGGACCTTTAAGTCCACCTAATACCAGCCTGCTGCGGTTTGATTTGTGCAACTTATCGTGTGGAGCGAGTGACGTTAATTAAGCCAGCACCGTGGAGAGGGGGGAGAGATGCCCCGGGCGTGTTAATCTTGCGGCTGCATGTGTCTCCATTAGCCTGCCGTGAACCGTAACGAATGAAGACAAATGCGGCACTCCAGCCCAGACCAAGCTGCTGTCCCGTCATCAAGTCATCCGTTCGTCCGTCCGTCCATCCGTCAGTCTGACCAACCTCATATGGCCGGCCATTAGGTGGCGGACCCAGAGACACACGACCGAGATCAGCTTTCCAGCTCGAGGGCGTAAATGAAATTAGCTAATTGCAATAGCTCTCCACCACTCGAGTCAAGGTGAAAGTTGACTGGGCAGCGAATGCGGTGAGTGCAGGGGGATGTTGTAAATTACGTATACGCACCTCTCCCACGACAGACGGCGTGGCGCCTCCTCGCCGAGACCCAGGCCCAGGCCACGTCCCAGACTCTGGACCGCATTGTCACCCGCCGGCGGTGGCTGCAAATTGGACCTGCCTGCCAGGGCGCTTGATTGATGCAGCAATTTGGCCAGCCGTGTAAAGGTCGTGCTCGATCCAGAGCCGGATGCGGATCCGGATCCCGAGCTGGCTGTCTCCGCCAGGGGCATCTCGTGGAGGGTGTGCTCCCGGGACATCGGCGTTGAGGCCTCCGATGAGGCTGCGGCTCGCTTTCTGGCTGCCAGTCGATAGGCTCGAGCTGCCACCACATGCGGCGCTGGAATCCTGCAACAGAGATGGTTGAATCTTAACAATAAAAGGGAACAAATTAATGGACTAAAAGAATAATATCTTATAAAAACATACAAGCGAGTTGAGAAAGGAATTTAGCATATAACTAAACAAAGGTTTTATTTTAAGGTTATCAATTATTTATCCCATTTAATGTTAAATAATGTAAACCCTTTTTGTTTTTAAAAATTATTATAACTTCTCGTATCCTAGTTATTATTTCAATTTATTATTATTGGCCTTCTAGCTACTGGTACGATTTTAATAATTTGGCTTTGAAAATACCTTAATCAAGGATTTCTTAATTAATGAACAATTGAGGTATTTTTTGTTTACCCACCTGAGCAGCAGTGATCCGTCCGCGTGGCATTCGAAATCATCGGAGACGTGGAACAGAGAGGCATCCCCTAGGTTTTGCAGATGCTGCAGGTGAGCGTGCTGCTGATGTTGCTGCTGTTGATGCAACTGCTGCTGGTGGTGGTGATGCGAATTCTGATGTTGGTGGGGCGTACTGCCCGAGGACTTTCGCCGATAGACCAAATTGCTATCGTCTTTTGGCAAATTCAATGATTTCACCATCAGCGTATTGTTGTTGTTGGCCAAATGCGAGTTGTTGTTGTTGTTGCTGCTGGCGGGATTGTTGTTGCTGCTGCAATTGCTGTTGTTGCTGGCACGTGTAAGCAACGACCAACGATGACCGCTGGCGCTGCCACTGCGGCTTTTGCTGCCCAACAAACGCTCCTCTGTGTGGGCGAATGGAATGGAAAATCGGATAATTCGTAGGGTAAGTATATAAACACGTACATATATGCATTTTACAAGTCTATATATTTGGACGTGTGTGGGTTAAATGCACTTTCGTTATATTAATCATAACTTGTGTTGAAAACCTGTCAAAAGTTTTTAATTATATATTCTGCTGAAACAACATGACAGGCACACTCATTTGTCCCGATGGCAAAAGAAATTGTGCAAAGCATTTTCATCACAACACTATTTCTGTTTAGCATTGACCAGCGGGCTTTCAGCGTTTTCCGAGAAGCTACAATTCCGCGAACGAAAGCCTTTTAAACTTTAATGTTTTAAGCATCACGTTCTGACTGGTAGTTTTGTGGTTAGTATAACTAATATTAGATGTTAAAGTTTAAAAAATATTAGGCTTAACAAACTTAACAAACTTTTAATCGGATTATTATAATGCAATAAGATGTTGAAGAAAAAGTTAAGTCTTTATTTAAAAAGGATTAAAAAAATAAATTCCTAAATTAACTTAAAGAAATTCGCAGTCTAGGCTAGCTATTCAACTAAATTGGTACAAATGAAAGTTTTGAAATAAATACATTTTTTATAGCACATTTGTTGGCATTGGATATATTTTTAGCTGTGATTCTGCTTTTCAATCAATTAGTCAAATCGAATCTGGCCATTGGTCATGTTTGTATTCAACCACTCTTAATTAAAAATATTAAAAAATTAAAGGATGCTAGAAGTGAAATAATTCAGGGGCTGGAAGAAATATACCTATAAGCTTTTATTGAACGTCCTTGACCTGGTTGCATGCTTAAGCGTAATAAATCAATTTCCGTTTCGTACCCAAATGTAGTCTTAATTAAACTGTTTTGCTCTCCACCCACATGCACAGTTGCATACAAAATAATAGTACTAATTGATTGATTTTCCAATTTTGAAAAAGGGCAAAGTTTGATATTTATGCAGGTATTTCCCTTTTTTAATATATATTTTTTACTGGTCCATGTACATAATATAACTAATAATATTTGCTGGGCAATAATAATTATAAAGGTTTTTTGAGGCCACTTGGAAATTCACAGTACATTTTGTATGCCATAACTTTAACAGCCTCATTATAGTCATTATTTATGCAACATAAAGTGAAATGACATTTTTGAGTAATTACAGTTGTTTCACAGGATTTTTCATAATAATTAACCCCTTTCGACCGCAGTTGTACGTTACGCACCCAATTGAAATGTTTGTTTATCCGTGTGCAGCGAGACGACCGGAAGTCCTGGCACAATGATGGCGGGCAGTGTGCGCGACCGTAACAATGGCGGCGGCAGCTTGCGGCTGCCCGGTCGCGATTGCGACCCTGAGCCACCGCCTGCACCACCCACTCCACCGCCACCCGCCGCAGCCGCTGCGGCGGCATTCTGCTGAGCTCTGAAATGAAATAGAATGGGGAAAAGGGGATGAGTTAAGGGTGCGGAAGAGCAAAAGAAAGTGACAATAATAAGTTAATGCTATTATTTATTGAGTGTGACGAGTCGACGGGAGTGTCAGCAAGTAAATGCAATTATTTCCCGTCCTCATTGCACATTGCTCCGTGCCATTTCCGTTTCATTTGCATGTGCCCCCCACTTGCATCCAAGGGTCTCTCTTGGGCATATTCCTTTGCACATTGAGCCATAGGAATGGGTATTTGGCAAACAGCCCATTTTCTTTTATGACTTTGGTGACGCTTTTACGAATGATAACTTAGGAACTCAACATCGTTATCGTCTCCTCGGTTTCGGTGCTATTTAAGAGCGTTTTTTATAACTTTAAGACTTTTTTATATATTTTTAAAATTTATATTTAGACTGGATTATTATTGTCAAAGATCTGATCTCATTTTTTACACATTAAAAATCATTACATATTAAATCAAAAATTATTAATATTAAATACTAAAATTAAATTAAAAATTAAACAATTTAGCAAATAAATCTTCCAACAAAAAAGTTCGTAATGTAGCAGTACTGCTTTAAAAGTTCATCTCATAGCTGAAGATATTGTTTTGTAACTTTAACATTTGCTCGACTTTGAAGGAAATGAATTTCTGCGGCAAGCCTAAATGTCAATAATTTAACTCGTTTATTACTTCCACCCACTGTGCGTTGGAAGAGTGTCATTGCCAGCTGTCGATTTGCGCATTTTTTAACGCTCGCATTCGAATTTCATTTGATTGTTGTGTGGAAATTACTTTCAACACCTCACAGGCCCTGAAAAACCTTCCTATCATCCACTGGCAGTGACAGCTGGATTTTTCCATGTAACCCTCATTTTTCCTGCAGCTTGATGTGTGATTGAATTCCTGGCACTCGAACTCGATTCCCAACTCGACGCCTACGCCAGATGCGTATGTCCTGGTCCTCCAGCGGCAATTGTCAAGCTGATGGAACAGTTCCACAATCCATTTCAGCCAACCCACCCATCACTTGAACTGCACCCATATTGCTATATATATACACATGCGATAAAATAAAAAATACGAGGGCAGTATGCTAACAAAAAAATGAAAAACTTTTTATTTGATTTATTCCTGACTTTGACATTTTGCCAAGGCGCCCGAATATCTGCCAGAGTTCTAACAAGTCCCCTGCAATATATTATAGATGATGATAGCAGGAGCAGCGGCCAAACGAACAGAAATCAGCAAAGTTTTTCCCACCCAGAGGCATTTACAAGATCCCAGCTAGGGACAACACATTCAATTGCTTCTCCATGGCAAAAAGCTGCACCCGCACTTAGGACTTCTCTATCATAGAGAAAAATTGTAGCAAACTTGCAGCAAAAGGCAAAAGAATCATGTAAGCAATTTATCTGCGTCCTTGCAACCAAAGGAGTGGCACAAAACAACGGCGGACAACTTGAGAAAACAGGCGAAATAGTTAAAGCTGCCAAAAGAGCAACACACACAACACAATGTACACACATAAATAAAGGGAAAATTACATAATGCTTTAGCAAAATAACTTAAAGTTGTTAGGGCGATGGCGTCCTTTTGTTTTCCGGTGCACGGAGAAAAATGCTTTTTAAAATTCACTTAAACTTTGTGTTTAAAATTAAATAAATTAAGCATTTTCTTTTATATGGTTTTATAAAAATTTTTAAAAACCTAATTTTTAAAATAAGAACTTTAACTACAAGAAATAATAGTGCAATAAAATTCTAGAAATCTTAACTCCAAATTTATCTGTCTAGTTATTCATAAATATCTTTTCGTCTTGAAATAATATTGAATGAAAGAAAATCTTTATTTCAACTACATCTTTCTTAATTTCTGTTATTGTCAATATTCTTTATAAAACGCATCTATGGTCGAATTTTTTTATTTTTAATGATACCATCTGGGATACTAGAGTGTTTTGTCAGATAGGATAATCCCAGTTTGCGTAAACCAATTTGGTGTCTAATTTGAGAAAATATTTTCGCTGTGCAGCTGAGAGGGGTTTGAGGTTTGCCGGCGGGCACTTTGAAGAGTGTCGAGCACAAAGGCACACATTTGAGCATAATGCCGCAGCACCCACTAAAGGCAAGCTGTTACAGGTCGCAGCAGGAGCTTCAAAACGCAACAAAGCCGGGAGGCAGGGGAAAAGACAGCGGGTCGAGGGGTTACGGGGGTGAGCGACCTGGCACAGCCCACTCACATAACTCAAAGCGGATCTACATAATTGACGTGAAATACTCGTAACCGTAAATCGTACATTACCCAAAAAATGAGAGGGGAAAGGGCAGGGCGTTGAAGGAGTGAAAAAAGGTTAACATGCTGCCGGAATTGCCGAGGAAAGTGTTTTAAGATGGGGCCTGCATAAAAGTTAACACCCTGATAATGGAGCCATGCGTTGAGGGAGAGAGGTGTTATTTAATGAGCCAAGCGTCAGGAGGTGCACCTCAAAAGGATATGAAATACTGCTTCTCAGGGAAGGATTATCACTGGACAGAATAGCTCACCACTCACCTTGTAATTCAATTACTCTCAACCGATTATCTCGACCTCCATTTGCAGTCTCCAATTAGGAAATTTCGTTGGCACTCAGTACGGAAACTAATGAAGTTTTTTGGGACTGACATATGTATCAGGCGTATAAACATTAGCTACAACATCATTCCTGTCGCATTTTGGGCGACATTTGTGTGTAAAAAGGCCAACTAAGCCGAAAGGCTTTGCCAAATTACGCATACGCAGTGTGTGCGCCCTGTAATCCAACATGTGTGTGTGTGTGTGTATAGGGGGGTCATGTAATTGCATTTGCTGCTGTGTTTACATGTGCGTGCATAATTAGAGTGAATGTTGTTCGTGTAATCAAATCATCGGCAGGCGGACCTTTTTCAGCTGGAAGAGCACCCTGCCACGCCCCATTTAAATGGGTTAAGAGAGGCTGTCGCCACGTTTCATGAACTTCAGGATAAGCGAGTGAACTTTAAGGGAACCTACTTGAAGGCAGTCATCGCCAGGAAACGGGTTGCTCGTGCCTAATTGAGTTTGCCGCTTGGCATTCTTTAGCAGTCCTTTCTCCTTAAGCAAATGTTGAGCATGCGAATGCCAGGACATAAAAAGCATTTTCATTAAGGCGCGATGCAGCGAGGCGAAAAAAAAAATGTTCGAAAATTCCTTTTTCTTTGCAGCACACGCACATACCCCCATGCTGTGCAATAAAGTGCGATGGAGTAAACAGGCGAAATGGAGAATAAACTTAGCTGCGAATTTCTAACGAGCTGCGTTTTCAGTTAACAAATAAGCAATGGCAAAAGAACGTGCATGGGAGTCGAGATTGGTTTGCCCGCATCTGCACCTTGCCACCGCCGGAAAACACTTGGCCGCTATTTATCAAGAACTTTAAGGGTCCTTCGCACGATGCATCCGGGCCCAGAAATGCATTGCCAAGAACTTAACTGAACTTGGTTGAAATGCCGCCGAAATGCAAGCACCTAAAAGCTGCTTTTCATTCATTTCCGGATGTGAATTTGGGAATTTACAAGAGTGCTCACATTTACAAGTTGAAAGGACTTTGACGATATCTAAAGCTAGGTGCCTGAAAACGTTTTTAAATAGTTTCTAAACTGGTAACATATAAGTAAATCAAAAGCTGGTATTATAAACACAAACAAATGCAATAAATCTTTTATACCACATTTATTTATTGTGCTCAGTTTATAGAAAATCTTCTTTATTTATTCACTCTTTGTTCGTAAGAAAATCTTCTTTTCTTCTTTTCTTGGATAAGTATGAAAACAAAAATAAAAAATCATGTGCAGTGCGGATTTTGTATGTCTTTGTATTTATCTTGAATTGTTTATTCTTAAATCATATTCCGTAAAACCAATATGTTTATAGGCATTAAATGATTTTAAGCTCAATAAATTATTCGTGGCCTAACAATTTATCAACTGAGCATTTGTTAAAGATGTTATGTATACCTATATTTATATGTAAAAAATTATACATTTTAATTGATCAAGCTTAAAGTTAAAAACAATAAAAACAAAAATGCTGCTTTAAACGAAAAATATATAAATAAATACTTTAATTATAGCCAGCTTTTCCATTTCCAATAAGCTAAGTAAAAGTATACAGTTTAAATTAATTTTAACCAGTGAAATGTAGAATACAAGTAAAATTTTTGACAATCTATAAATTATAATGTTGTTCTTAATCTTTAGTTAAAATTGTGATTTAGTTTCGGACCGCGCTCATTGATTGGTAACTAAATCGCTATTGATTGCGTCCCAATCCGATTTCAATCCGTCGTTCAAACAGATTGTTAATTCTGTTTGCCTTCGGCTGGCTGACAATTCATTGGGCTTTGCATCGCTGGCTGTGAAATCCGGAAAATCCTGGCAACTCAACCACCCCACCCCCCTGCAAAATCACCCCCCGCGGTGCTTAAGTAATGGCAAACATTCGACTTACTGTCGCTCCTTGCGCTGCTGTCGCTTCTTCTTGAACACTTTCCTGACGCGAAGCAGGAGGAAGGCGGCCCGGTCCACGGACAAGGTGGTGCCGCTCTTCTTCGCAGGTCCAGCTGCAGTCTCCTGTTCCATTTCGGTGATGCTGCTGCTGCTCCAGCTGCTGCTCTTGACTTCACTCCTGTGCCCTGCTGAGGTTGCTGCTGTGAGACGAGTTGCTGGTGTTCTTTTGTCTGACTGGTTATTTTGCTTGTAAGCCGCCAGTGCCGCTTATGACAAGTTGCGGCATGGCTGCTGGCATTTGTATGCCCCTTGCGTAGTCCTTTGGCTGCTGGTTTCTCACTTTTGGCTTATGCCTTCGCTGCGAGGGTTCGTCCTTACACACGTCTTACGCTTGCTCCACTAATACTTGCACTATCGCCATTTTCAGAGGAGCTGTTGTGGGGGGAACATGGTTATATCTATGTATGCACACACACGCCTGGATTTACATATCCTGGCAGGACCTGCACGTGCTCCCAGCTGCCTCGTTGCCATGTCTGACAATTGCGTGCCAAGAAGCAAATAACATTTTGCTTACTTGTCACAGCACCACCCAGTTGTCCTTTCACCCCATGCCCCAGAACACACACTTCCCCACCATTACACACAAGCTTCGTAAGCATTTATATGATATTGTTTTATTTATGATCTGCTGTTATGGCTGCTTAGGTAAGTTGCGAATTTCTTGGCGTTTTACGCATTTCCATAAACGAATATCCCCAGCCACCACCCAAGGACATTTATCTTGCCACGTTCTTTCTTCTTTTATTATTGTGAAATAAAAATTTAAATTCATGTGGCTTTCAGAGTGCGACTTTAACCGAACCGGAAAGTGGGCATAAAGAAGTGTCTTTATTGGGTGGGGCTCTATTTTCGGTCACTCTTTAGTTTTCTTTGAATTTTCCGTTATTGTCACTTTCAGTTCCATCAGCATTCTGATTGTCAGGTTCATTATCATAATCGTACCTTTTTCCAGATCAATTACGGATTAACTGTCAAGTTTATTGGTGTGCAAAAGGGGGACAGGTAATCCCCGGAATCCCTGAGAATGTTCACAGCGAAAAGCTGAATGTCTCAGCGAACACCCGCCCATTTTCCACCTGCTGTCGTTCCTGACTTCTAAGTGAGCTTGAGTGGATTTTGAAAACATTTTCAGCACTCTCAGGACTCAAACTCAAACTCACGTGCAGGCAGACAGGCGGTCTGCTCTGTGTGCGACAGTCGCCTTGATAAAGGATAAGAAATTGCTGTGCTGTGCAGCCAAAACCGAAGCCGAGTTGAGGGACATCCCACAAAGGCGACTTAGTGCTGCTTGTCGCTTAACTTAATATTGACTTATTTGCTCACTGGCAATCGAAAACTATTTACTATCAGGCTTTTAGGAATCCGGTCAAATCGGTGATTGCTGCCTGTCCTTGGCTAAATTCTTTGGCCCGCCAATGAGTCTTCTGATAAATGATTATGATGGTTAAATTGGGTCAGAACACGAGAAGCCTGACTAGATGAATGACTGAAATAATTGCTGGAAACTTGCTTGCCCCAGCATCTCCATTCTTGATGAGGGTAATGATGATGGTGCATCCATCGTAGCAATTATATCTTGATTTGATAATCACAGCCGGAAGCTGTCAAGTCCAGATGGATGTCAGAGTCACGCGCGAAAAGTTGAGCAGGGAAAATTCAGAAGATAGATTTTACTGAAAATATTAATATGTGTATCTGTCCTAGAGCATTGAATTGCTTTTTTCTTGGCGATGATAGGTTTTCACTGCTTGAAAGTGTACTCCGTTATAATAAAAGGCCATATATTTAATATATCCCATCGAAAAGAACAGCTTAAGAATGTTAAGTAATCTTTTTAAGATGTTTACAATAAGACTGCTCATTTTCGTTTAAGCATTTGCATCAAAAGTGGAGCATAAATTCTGCATCTTTAAGGTATTTTTTAATGCAACCCAATTAAGTTGCAGAACTACCCGACCACAAAAGTGTCCAACTTAATTATTCATTTCTGAGTCTTTTTCAGACTATCTCTACTAGTCGACCCGAGGATTAATTTCCGAAATATTTCCAAAGCCCACGGTTTTCCCTGGGTGCAAGAGAAATTAGCTTTTGGCCAGGTCTAGAGCTCGGCATCGAGTTAATTGAATGTCATGCCAAGCTCCGTCGCTGATTGGAAGCCGGGAGCAAATGTGGCTAAGAGGGCCTGTCTGTGTCGCTGTTGCAAGTCATTTCCGGCACGCTCGAGGGTCCTGCCTTTAGCTTAGATTGCGCAATTTGACTTTAAAGTCAATCATTTCGCGCTCCTAGTGTGCTACTGCTGCTGGCGGGTGAAGCAAAGGACGATAAACGACACATCCTGGACAGGTGGAGCTGGGCAACCACCACAACCACATCAGTGGCACGTCACTTGCAACGCTTCCGCTGTTGATTTATTCGCCATTACGCCGGCACGTGACCGGTTGTGGTCCAGGAATAGGGTCCAGCATCGGGACAAGGATGCCATAATTAAATAACAATTTGCCAGCGAACAGCAAAGGGGCGGAGGGCACCATAACAACCAGTGCCAATGGCAGCTTGTATCAGGACACCCAAAGGACACTCGCACATGTGCGTTGATGGAAGGGAGAGGGGAGAAAGGATCTGAGGGGGCGACAGGAGCATTAAGAGCCGAGCTCTGCCATCAAGTGACTCGCATAAAGCGAATGCGAACGCGGCCAACTCCCTTTATGGGCCAACATTTCGAGGACCTCTCGCCTTTGCACTTTTTCTTTGCATAATTTTTTTATTCGCACAACAAAGCGCTAAGCTGAAGTAAAGTATATACAGTTGTGGCCAGATTAATTGTATTTCTATAAAATTTTTTTTTTTATTTTTGCAAAATATAATTGGAAAATATTTGGGGTTTTATTGATGTTTTGATGACGTTTTGTTTTTACTCTTAAGCATATATGTAAATTTAATAGACAACTTTTGCTTTAAAAACTCTCCTAAAAAACATGTAAATTTAAGAGTATTTCTTTATAAAATCTTGGTATTTGGTTAAAAGAAATTAATAACCAAGGAACTAAAGTAAAAATTGCTATATTTATTGGTGAAATATTTTTTCGTTACTGCTACTATTGTTTCTTTCGCGTCTGTGGCAGCCAAATTTGTTTTCCATTTAGCGTCCAGCTGGTCCAGACATCTCCGGGGAGTGGAGGAGGGTCGGAAATGAGTGCAAATTTATGCAGAAAGTAATTAAAAGAACCGTTGTCCGGCTACATTTCCTGGCCCAGTTGTCTGCTCCTGAAGCGAGCGTAAAGCCGGTGTGGGCGTTGGGGGGCGTGGCCACCATTGTACTGGGGCTTTGAGATCTTTTTAACGATTTGTTTGCGCTCATAAAAGTAAAATTTAATGAAGTTGCAGCATAAAAGGCGCATAAACACGAGCCAAGTGGCTCGCTGACCTTTGTCCTTTGAGCTGAAGTCTGGCTGGTTGGTCTTTATGCTTTTGCTCTCATTGCTCCTATTTAAGTGGCACCGTTGAGTGTTTGTCACTGTCTTAATTACTTGGCTTTGCGTCTCATTGTCCGCTGGCCACGAAGGCAAACACCAAAGCACCTTAAGCTAACGAGCTGCTCAGCTTCTGCTTTTGAGTCCTGCCTGCCACACCTATTAACACCCACCTCCCAACTCGCCCCCTCAGATTTCCCAGTGGGGCAGCGAAAAGTACAATCGATTTCATTTCAACGCCACACAACAACACACAGGAGCAGCCACAGGAACTCGGGGAAGGAGGCTCGAATGGCCCGCCCACCTAATTTAAAGGACTAATTGTCAACATGCCGCAACTTGGCTGAGAGTGTGTATACAGGGACGTGGGAAGTGGATGGGCGTTTGGATGATTTGCTCTCTAATTTGTCTGGAACAGCATAAATGGCATTTGGTATAAGCTGATTTAAGACGGTGATTAGACCTCACTCTTAGTATCCAAAACTTATTCAACTTGTTATTTATTTTCTCCCAGACTGACTTTCTTACAAATCCCTACAAATATTTATTTTTCATGTACCTATTGTATTTATATTATTATTGTGCAAGAATACTTTTATCTTGTTTATCTTTTCTTTTTGTAAGGCAAAGTTTAACTCAAACGATTTATAATCAGCAAAGACCATAAATTAAAATATAGCCGACAAATAAAAGGAACATGAGGTTTTTTTTTAATAATTGCGAGAATATTAAGAATGTTGAACTGTATAGACATTGTGAATATAAAAATATGTATTTGAAATAAGGTTTTTGTTTATGACCCGGTGGAACTGAACTCTCAGTTATAATACATCTGAATTTATTTGTGTAATCTTCTTAATTATAAGTAAAGTAAAGCATTATTGAATGAAACGAAACTTTAAGCGCCTTAAGAAATTCCATTACTTAAAATCCTTTTCATAAAGCAATTTGTGGCTAATTTATCTTGACTGCAGCTCCCATTCATCGATTTCTGAGAAGCCTTTGGGCATATTCACGTATACATGAAGGTAATATGAGCGGCTTCATCGGCAGGACTTAGTCTGCCCTGCTTTGTAGGACCTCTTATCTAAGCCAAACACTCTGAAAACACCTAGCCGAAAAAAGGCCTCCGAAGACCATTGTTTTTCGTAGACTGCCCCCGGCTGTATATGTATATTTTTCGATACTGACATACGTCTTTCGCTGCCCTCCCCGCACTTCCCACTTGACCTGCCGCCCCACCCAGTTGTTATTCGTCTGACATTGTCTGGCCATATCAAGGCAGTTGCCACTCAGCAGCCAGTCGGCTAAGCAGAATGTATGGCCTTATCTACGTCTCTCCACGGCCCGCAATATTAGCACTTGAGTACAATTTTCCAGTGTAAATAGCCGGGCTAACAAAAGCCGTTAAAACAAAGCATGCTAAAACGAGCGATGAGCGTAAGTAATGCGGATGAAATGCGACATGTTAACAAGGCGACGCCTTAAGAGGATTGGGATTTGCAGGAGGATGGAATTTTGGGGGCCATGACGTGAGGTGTCCTGTCTGCGTCAGGTTCCTGTATTTATAAAATTTACATACATCCAGGCTGCGGCGGCAGCAGCCCAAAAACTAAATAAAAGCGGCGTTGGGGGAGTCAGACACATATTAGACAACAGGGCGTATGAGTGTCGTCCGCACGTTATTTTCGTTCGGGCGTCCAGCCATGAAAATGCCAGCCTTGTATTTATACGCTAGGGTTTGGGCATTTGTGTTGCCTTTCGTCTGACTTGCCCGACATTTATGGTTCAAGTTGCCAAGTTTTGTTTTCTTTAGCTGAAATTGTATGCCGCCATTGACTGGCAGTAGTTTTGTTTCACCCATCGCCAGTCAAATAGCTTTCGGGCGCAGGACAATCA